ACATGGATAGATATACAAACTCGCGTCGCGCAAAACCCAACCATATATATATATATATTCGGTTGGGTTTGTATATCTATCCATGTTATCTAAAGGAACCAGAGCTGGATCGGACAAACAGAAGGGTAGAAATAGTTGACGCTTCAGAACAGAGAGATGTGGAGTGTATCAGCGTGTATTGTATGCTGAGACTGAGACACAAGTGTTTTACAATAAAATGCCCTGTCTCCTTAAAAATGACATCAACTACCCTGTCACATGGCGATCAAGGATAGTTTGTATGCACTAGGATGACCCGAAGAACGACTAACTGCGTTCACACTGATCGGGAAGTAATACCATAAACTTTTCATCCGAATTTCAAGGAACGTAATTCTTCTACACACGTATACGTATGGGGTCGTGAACTTTCCCTGGAGGTTACTGGCTTATTTCAATCACAGTTGACACTTTAATTCCAGACCAACGTTTCTTGCTTTCCGCTGTTGGAAAAGAGTGTGCAAAACCAACATTGTCAGAATTACGACCATAAGTTCTAGTGTTTTGCGGATACGTTTGGATTTAGCTAGATATGCTGCTACTAGCAGGGACCAAATTGATGTCTTTGAGAGGCTATCATGCACAATCGATTCAGGTTCAAGCGTAGCGATTACACACTGCTATCGCGTTCAAAGCATTAGAACGGATTTGCATGGGGAATGTATATATCCGATAAGTCTGTCTTGTTCTTCAATATGACATCATCCAGACTTGTCAGTGACGAATTCAGGCCACACTATTCCTGTTTAGTTTATCCTCGCATACGCCTCGATGGATGTGCACATTNTCAGGCCACACTACTCCTGTTTAGTTTATCCTCTCCCCACCTTTATGTGATTCCCATGGTTACTCTATACCAAAAGTGTGGGATGACCTCCTGTTAGCTAGCGTTGGCGGTGCGCGCCCTGACTCAAGCACCAGACCTCTGCCATGTGAAGCCATCACTCCTCCAGCACGCACTCGAGAAATCCGAATTACCGGGTTTTCGAAGGTTAATATTTCTCGCTTGACATGGTTTGTTTGATCAAATTCTCAAAGAAGAACCTAATACCTTTGCTGGTTATGTCCGTGGACTGATCTGACTACTAAAACTCTCCAGGCAAGTCATGAAACAGATATTTGGACCTTGCTTGACAACTTTATCTGACCGGGTAGTTTCGGGATTTGTAGAATTTCTGGCCATGCTCACCGAGCATTCCAGACGACCGGAGATTTAATTCTTGCACAGCCATAGATATTCGCTGCTGCTAAACTCTAATATGTCTTAGAATCTGATCCAGTATGTTCGCACTATGCTGTAGGGTCTCCAGAATTAGTGCTACAAAACAGGCACAAAAACGCCATATGGCCGACAAGTTCTTTGGACCCAACAACTACCCAAAAATAACGAGTTTGTCGTATACTAGATGCAATCTATGAATTTTCGGCTAAAACTAGATATCCCCGAAAACAAGAGTCCTCCCGTGAATGACATTCGATCCATCATCACCGATACGTTTACCCAAAAAGTTGCGCAGTTTTTTTCAGTACCACTGTGAAACTGTAGACACCTTGGTCGCAGATTGTCCACCGTACATCTAACCACTGTCGCACATCAAAACTCTGTTAATGTCAGTGTCGAGTGAAATACGTTTGAACCATTGTGACCAGGGTTACCCAGAATAACCCAAGCAGAATTTCATTCCGTATCTTTAACCTGAACATTACTACAGAGATTGAACACTGTATCATACCAAAAGTCGCGACAGAATGTACCGTGAAGTTCGCATACGCCTCGATGGATGTGCACATTGTTTGATTTGGTAAAACAAAACCAGTCGCCAGAGAAAACAGTGTGATATTTGTGATCGCGGTTGGAAATTTCACGTAAGCATTTTATGAAGTGTAGCTTTGTAGACTCTGATAGAAGCGAAATGTGCACAACAATCAGCACTATGTTTTCATGAGAAGTCAGGAATGTTATCGCAAATATGACTCCAATTATTAAGATGCAACTGTTCGCAAACATTTCGCGCGAAATTCGTCCCAAAGACGCTCATTCTTCAGCTAAGCAACGATAACGCATATCAGACGACCACGCCATCATCGTGAGTCGTGTCGGTGTGGTCGCTTGTGCAAGCTTGGCAAAATCTATTCCGACAATCGATTCAGAATATCACTGCCCACTCACAGCAGCTGTTTGGAGCCAACACAGAACTAGTGTTGTTGTGGAAGGCAAAATCCAACACCATGTATGTCTTGTTGCCACGGTGTAGATACAATCATGAAAACACTAAATCAAGCTACCTTCGTTATGCGATAGACCATATTTAGGTGCCATACAGCCACCCCTTTTAGGTGGATACCACAGCTATCTCTTTATATGTGCTGCAAATGTCTACTATACATCATCGTCCATTATAAATTGAATTTGAATGAAACTTTAAGTATCAAAATCGGGTACTCCTCATAAATATCAAAGTAATAGCAGACTTCACAAATCAATTAAACGAGGCGGTTAAAATGTCATTACGTGTTTTCCGTAACAGAAGCAGTTCACTGAATTTGTCGTCCACAAAGCGGCTTGAGATTGTGAAAGCACCGTAGCCTTTAGGAGAAAGCACTCCTCTAAATGACCAATAGCTGAAAAATCTGTTAGCACCTAATGCAAAAGTACATTAAAGGTCCAAACCCGAAGACGAACTCCATAAAGAGTCAGTCTGGTCCCATGAGGGAGATTCTCAAGTTGATAGACACTGGAAGTTTGGTTGCATGCAAGCTAAACCCATATTGGACGGTATTCGTTCTCTTCTAAAACCGCTGAGCACATACCAAATGTGTACACACACACACACACACGCACCGACAGAACTAGCCAATTGGTAGTTATTTTCAAGGTCTTAATCGTGCTCCAAGCAACCGGAAGCTGGATGGAAATTATCGGCGTTTTTTACCCTGAGCATGTATTAGTAGTGGTAACTTCATTGCTAGTATTAATCTACGTAGGTGAACTAAAATAGGCATTTATTTAGGTTTGGACATTCTGTCCTACGTCAGATGAATCAATCAAATAGACCAATTTAACCTACGTACGATTATTATAGATGAGAAATAATCAGTATATCCTGCTGATGGTCTTCGAAAAACGTGAAGGCTGATGAAACCACAGCAAAGTGCGTGCGAGCTCGCTCCTGGCGAGTAGCTGCATGCTCGCGTTGATTCTAGCCGAAGCGCGTCATCAAAGTGCATTCAACACGGCCGTAAGAATTCGGGTTGGAATTATTGGCTAACGGCAGAACGGTCTGGCAAACAATTAGCGTCTGGCTTGACACTTTCTAACTAATTGCTAGTTTCCGTATTTCACACTTGATATAACAAGTGATATATAACAAGTCAGGCACAAACGTTCTGGAAATGTTTTGTAAATCATCTGTAGTACAAATGCTTATGATAAACTAACCGCAAATGTTCGATTGGAGTTTGTCGGACAGCTGAGCAGCACCATGTAGCGGAAGTGTTAGGCCAAGCGAAATTTCATCTATGCCATTTGAAGCGCTATGATGTTTTTTGTAAATAAACGGGTGCTCAGAATGAGTATAGTATTACGTGTTCACAATAAACAGCCGAGTTGTCTATTAAGTTCATCATATTTATGAGGTAAAGAGACCACAGGCATGTTCGCAGATACCGTTTCGTCGTCCAGACTAGTTGTTCGCCGTAAGCATCACTCTCGGACTTACACTGCAACCACAGTTTAACACAACTCTAGCACTGTATACCAAATAGAGCGCATAGATTCTGGGTGACTGCAGTCGGCGGCTGTTGAATATTCTGATACAAGAAAGCCTATTAATCGGTCTTAAGTGCCTGACTCGTACTCAGTAACTTCTCGGTCCTGTGCATTACAACAATCCTACGGAACACTCATCTACCTCCACAGACATCTAACCAAAATGTGGATCATCCTTGAAAGTGCTTTATTTGCGTCGACCATTTCATGGTTGATTGTCGCCCAGTGCGTGGACAGGAGGTGTATCTATTTACCTTGCATTCCTCTTTTAGAGGTGAGCGAGCACAGCAAGCTTGATTATTCTGCTGACTATGGATGCTCACTGGTGACTCTGGGTAGCAAAACAACTGGTAAGTCAGTAAGCCTACGCGGAAGTCTCATCGGAGGGAGATCACCATAACCAAGCCAAGTGTTATGATAAATATCCTAATCACTTTGTTGCTGAAAATTCGTCATGAGCAACCTTATGAGTAGTGCATTAGAAGGATATACGTGTATCGCGATGTCTCGATTATCGTAGCGACTGAAACATGAGGCGGCCTGGTACAGCACATTCAGTTGCCTGAAAACATCACAGACGAGAGATTCAGCTGGGTCCAGGTGAGTCTCTCAAAAAACCAAATTTGTTTGCAAACGAGTGTATTTCGCTAATGTCAGTCACTTTGTTAAGTGCCATTATTTGAAAACCATCGGTTATTCTCCGGGCGAGTCGATTCGGTGGTACAGCCACGATTAATCGTTACAGAAGAATGTTAGCGTTGTACTGGCGTTAGGCTGTTGTCAGTTTCAGGGTTCACCCGACGCAGCAACTTGGTGGGACCCTGGATGTCATTTCAAGCCAGTAGCGCTAAATGAATCAAAGAAAATTTTGCGAACGGAAATATCACACTGATGATTGCCGATCACTATCAACTCAATAAAACACAGGTATCGAACCTAAAATCAGTTACTTTTGTAACCTAGACGTTGCAGCGAAAACATGAAACTTCAATCTGGTTTGCTGCGGTGTTCTGATGATCGTCTGATTATAACCGATGTTGAGCTCAGGTGTTGAGAAAAAATAGTTGACCTGAATAAAGCATGGTTAACAGTCTTTAAACTCTATAGGTAGAATTATTGCCTACCACTCATTATATCCATCTTCCCTGGTGAGACCTAATTTGTCGTTCACTAGAGGTGACCACTCTAGAGGGAGGGACATCCTACCATGGTGTTCGCAGGTGTTCACAAGATGATACACCATCCAGAAGAGTGTAGGTACCTACTGCGCTCCACGCCTAGAACCTCGGTTTCGGGTCCCAATCGAGATTTGACCAATAAACTACCCCTCTTCCCAAAAAAATCGGGCAGCGCTTCTGAAAACGATAATTTAGAACTGAAATCCAGACTAAATTCAAGTGTTTTGGACTTGTACCGATCACTCCCAAGCTGAACATACAACAATATGTGAATCGAGTTCCCATGAGATGAGGCACACGGCAATTCCCCTGCCACACGTTTTGGTCAACGTCGAAGCTGCAAGAGTTATTTTCAACCCTTTCAGCATAGTCCACCTTATTCTCCCTGCAACTCCAGACCAATTTCGATTTGGTTGTACGTAACTTTCATTTCCCCAAATATCGTAATAGCTAGACGACCAAGCAACGAGTCCTGACCGATTGACCCATAAACACGTCAAGGTTTCTAGAATTACGTCACACGAGCTATTCAAGTCCCATTAGATGTGTGACTTCAGTCCAGTCCGTAGGCCAAATTTTCAAAGGCCTTGACACTTCTTAATGTAAAACTAAGATAAAAAGTCTACTTGTTCCTCTGGCATGCGAACAGATGCCACGAGACTAGGCCTGGCATCATCTGACGTTCGGCACCGAATGTGACTTACCCACGGCTCAACAAGCACATTGTGGAGGTGCTGTATCGTCGAATTCTAAGCTGCATGATAATGCTTCAAACATGGTGGTTTCTATAGGAAGTGGGGCATGTAATGGAGGTATATGTGGTGAAAATCAGTAAATAAGGCCCCATATTTTCGAAAATTACAAGTTTTCAGTGCTTTATACCAAATCGCCTCATTAGGAACGTAGGAATATGACGTTTAAGTGCGTGGTACTACCTGAACACAGCGTCGCTACAGAGTGGGTGACTGGCAGACAAGACTGCACAAAAAGACAATGGTTCAAGACGCAACGCAATATTCGCAAGGTTCCTGAAAGTTCTCCGACGGCCAACGGCCATTATTCAAGCTTACCCAACAGTTGCAACCCACGAGTTCCCCTAAAACCCCATGTTCTGCTTGTTCAACACTAAAGCAAAGTTAACTCATGGAATCGTTGGCAGGGGCACATGGTGTGATCAATGAGTCGTTTATTGGATAGAGGAGCAGCGACCTGCATACACGGCATCAAACCCACTGGAAATGTGGCGTGATATAGTTTTTCACCAAAAACACCATCGCATTTCATGTGTCCGCACTTACTATATTTTCGTCCACAATCTCGTTTTTGCATCCAAGCTCAAAATTTTACTCGTGGTATTCCGACCCAATTAGAGCGAATACCCATTACAGTGTTCACAACGAATATTCATTTCTTAGAAAGGAGATAAGCCGCACTGATCACTGCAAAGCTTCACCGGTTCAACTGAATCGACGCGTGTTCGCTGCGAGTTTGTTATTTTGTTAAAACGTTAAGTTGTTACTCATCAATATGAGAACTCCTGATCACGAGTCTGCTGTCTAGGTCATCTACGGACATTAAAAGTAGATACTAGGCCCATAAAATCCAGTCAAAATCGTACCTGCGAAGACGAACTAATATGGGTTAGTGAAGAGAACCCAATGTCCCAAACCGACGCTGCTGAATTCCAGAGATATGAGACACCACAGGCTCATATGCACCGCAACTCTACACAGCGCAAATGAGTGAATGAAGAGATCAAAAGAAACACTACGATTAGAAAAATAGTTTCCAACTGGGAAAAGCGACTAGCACGGCGGGAGGATGAAGATGAAAATATCAAGGGGAACCACATGTGGTGCTTGTGGGTGGCAACTGCAACAATCGCCAGACGCATGCAAGGACGTGCTCCGACAAGGAGCAGATGTGGGATCAACATTCAAAACGTAAGGGATACAGTGCGAAACATGAGGCCGATTGTACCGATTGGAAAACAGAAACAGAAGACGTTTGATGCTGAGCATTGCCACGTGAAGTTACCGATTGATCCAGTAAGTTGTTAGGACTTGAGTATGTGAAGGAAGGTTTACATGATAATGTGGGGTTCTGTCACTGACTGAGAGATAGCATTGTGGGGCAAAACCAACGCTCCGTTGAGGAAAATTTCGTCTTTCACGCGTACGTTCTCTCCAAGCACCGTCATATTTTCAATGCGAACCTAAAGTCAAGGGACTTAGATGAGATGACAGATCAAGTGTCAAACCAATTTAGAAGTAGGGTTGGAGGTGTGTTGAGATTTTTCAGATCAAAATTAAAATTGACGGCATTGGATGGTTATCTTTCCTTACCAAAAAAATCTCACTCACTGTGGTTGAACTGACTGTTTTATAACCTAGGTGCCTGGGACCCAGCAATATTTGGTTTGCTATACAAGACTTGGCGTTCTGAGCATCCATCTCTTAACCTAGTGAGCATAACGAATTAGGCTTAGCGCATAATCACTAGGCAACTCTTACGATAGTTAAACTAGTAGAACACTCATCCAACAAACAAGAACTCACAGGTTCGATTCCGTCTTGCGTAGGAATTACACATACATAAGTTCCCCACCGAGGAGTAGAGTTTTATTCGAAAAAGAATGTTTGAGTGGAACACACTAAGTACCTGTTGCCCCATGATTTTCATGTCCACAACGTACATCTGGGCACTTTCCCCACAGTTTAAGTGATATGGATCGACTGTACACCTCCGGATGAGAACCGTTTCAACAAACGGAGAGGCCACCACAGCCTATTTTACAACATAGCTACCTTAAAAGTTGTTGTAATTGTTATTATTTTTTACATTCCCCATGGCTATCTCAGACTTTGGTATAAAATTATCAAACGCACTGTACAACTGTAAAGCCGAAAGGCAAGATACAATTGTTTTATCTCTGTTGCAGATTCTGTACAAAGCGCGCCTCTCAGCAAGAAGGAACCGGCCTCTCAGTTACTAAGGATAGGTTGGCTTCGCCTACGATCCATCTTGGAAACTTCAAAATGGAATTCTCAAATAAAGACAGATCATAAGAACATGTAAAGCACATCCAAAACTTTCATACTACGTCTCAAATGTGTGGATATAATCAGACCTGTTCATCCTCATCGTCGTGTCTCAGAGTCGATCCATGAAAAGTTGAAGAGTAGGCAGCCAGTACAGAAAGCATAAAGGGGTAATCCCGTATGAACAACCGTAAGAAATGGCACTGGTGTTTGGTTTACGGCTTTGGTAGGTGGAAATGTTGCAGAGTTGCTGCATTCATTTGAATTACTTTTGCTAGCAGCTTGACCACCTCGACAGCCCACTAGCAGCACGGTTTACTCCCGCTCAACGTAGCTTTCTATTGCTTTCGGGCCGCTTGTTCTTCCACTTTTCTGCCCCCTCTAAACGTTTGTCTACCTTCCACCTAGTTGCGGATACTGAGATTATGTCACCGTTCCGCCATCGCATACAGTTACCGACCTTTTCCGACCACCTCCATTTGTCTGTCCTGCGATAAGGTCAGACCTGGGGTCGAAAGTGCGACCAGGGCAGCACTTTTTAGTTGCTAATGATGTGCTAGTTGACTTGTGTTGATTGATGGAGTTTGCTGGTTCTTGTTCTGAACGGGCCTAAACGAGCGTTTTGATCTAATTCTGCCGCGCCTACCGCTTCACACATCGTCGGTTGAAGACTGTATGTATACATGTGTGCTGAATATACCCGATGCTTGTTACTGTGGATAAGTTCTGTCTTTTGTTGATTCGAACGCACCTTTCAAACGTACTGATTGTTTTCCGTGGCCTTAATCCTTGTATATTATCCAGTCACAGGGTTCGTATGTTTGTACATTATTTGATACTTACTAGTTATTTGTTTCCAGGACGCCCTGTTGTCCGACTGTCTCTTTTCGGTTTCAACCGAGTTGCACTATCATTGGTTGTATGTTCTGCTGACTTTTCACTGCTAATCGATTCGCCTACAGAATTGTTTGCTAACGCGGTGTATACAAATCATTGGAGACTAAGCGGCAACTGCGTTGGATCGATAGATTCCAACGCGCCGTAATATTCTGGACCACCATGATCTTCAGTGTTAGTTATTGCTTATTTAATCCCACATTTACTCAAGAATTACTGAAAGAAACAACACCCAATGCTAGTGTGTTCGCAAAGTGAACTAACTCCCGAAGCAACCTCCAGTTGTCAAGGAAAGGAAGACATCCACTACGGTTGGAGCGCAAACCAATCACAGATTGCCTGAAAAGCTGATTGAATGAAACAGAAATCACGCCATCCGGAACGTACCCATCGTCCAACGGTGGAGCGCCATCCGACGATGCAGTTATTCAGCCACGCATGAGAACGGATGACAGACCTGGAGAAGATTGCTGAGTTGCTTATGCGCACGCCATCCTCAATGATCACATGAGCACCTATAGTCACGTTCGGACCGATACGACAATCTTTTCCAATTTTTGCGGTCGGATCCTGAAACAATGGGTGAGTGGTGAAATTTAAGTGAGTCGAAGGCCAAGAAGCTGGTCCACTACTGAAAGGTTTGTGAATGCGAGACGAAATTGCATATATCCAGAGGATGCAAGGGTGGATTGCAATGGACAGCAATAAGTGGAAAGGAATTTCGTTCCGCATAAAGTGGCGACAAGATGGGAGTGCAGTACTATGTTAAGTAGCCATGGTAATAAACAAGCCACCAGGCGAGGTTATCGTCAATAAGTCGCTACAGTGGACCATGACCGCAAGTCCAGTGGCCATCCAGCGATATTTTTCACTGAAGACGGGGCACTCTGGACGCGAGCCAATGAACAGTGCTTTGTCTAGGGTCTGTGAGATGCCCTTCTGTGGCTCAGAATAGTGATTATTGTAGAAGTCTTTGGATTTCAGTTGAAAGCACTGATACAATCACGGACCACTCTGTGATGACAGAGCGGATCACTTTCTCGCTCTTCAGGTGTGCTCTTCATGTGACTAGACTCTCAACCAAACCAACTGGTATGGCGAAATTAAGAAGTATTAAAACTGCTATTAATAAGAAGCGATTCATTCGCATACCTAGTATAACTCACAACATTTCATCAAAATGGCGGATTGAATGTTATAGCTTAAGATTCTCTATTCCGCTAATCTATTGTTTCGCTGCAGGACTTAAGGTCATGTAAGTAAGGCGAAACAAATTTTCGACGTAGCAGAAAATGCCCAAAGACCTCATTCACACATGGTTAGCATGTTTAGGTGATACCGAGGCTGCAAAATTGTGATTGGATGAATCACGAGTAAGTTGTACACAGGGAAGACATTCATTCGAATACAGAATTTAATTTATTTGCACATGCGAAGTAACATTTAGCGAAAAACCGAAAGTGCTGAGGTTTTATCAGTAGTCCTCAGTCTGAAGTCAGTCAAACGAAATGCACGCGGGTGGACAGTAGGACCAGGAAAGTAAAACAAACCACTCTCCTGTCTATACGGTTGAAAAGGCAGTTGTCCTTAACATGTGAACATTATGAGAGTATATCCCGGCAAGATCCACATAGGCCTACTGACTACATAGTTCTATCCAGTAACGAGTCTGGCTACCAATCGCCTGGTGATAAAACAGTTACGACCACCTTGACAACCGACACATGAGCGTAGTGTTGACCCATTAGAAGATTGTGCAATTCTGTCGGAAACATACTGGCTAACGCGGTTGTCTATTTCTCGGCTGACCAGTCTAGTAGCTCTATTATTGCCCATTTTTTTCTCGGGACAGGCCTGTCAATAATCCACCGAACTTCGAACAAAACTGGCCGTTGTTTGCGTGTAGGTAGTGCCTATCATAACCACAACCGAAGAGGCAAAGGTCCCATTGACCATCATCAGTGGAAACGAAGTTTTCTGGAACAATATCTCTAAGGCGGGGTGTTGTGGTAAAAACAGTTGAGGGTATTCACCTGTTTCAGAAGTTACAATAGAAGCTACTAAATAAATTGTAGAGTGAAAAGTGTAAAGTGCTCAAGCGGTTGCACTCTGGACATGGAGAGAGGAACCCGAGGCATCTGCGCTGAGTTTATCGGTATTCCGTATTTCTCCGGCTTGGTATCGCTGATGAAAACGTCAATCTATTGTTTCAACTATGGCGTTTCTAACCTTACTGCTTCATGTTGCTAATTTCTAGCCCGATTAAAATAAACGCGTTCAAATCGTAGTTAGGTAAAACAACAACTAAGTTTTGCGTAAACGTGTTGTTAAGATGGTCCTTTGGCAAGTGTTTCGGAGAGGCAAATGCCCCCACCGAAAAATCGGAAGGGAATCGATAGGCTGTCCTAAATTAGACCGTTATAAAATAATGAAGTACATTCGAAGTGGACATTTATAGGTTCATTACGAATACAGCTTCGGCACTTTCACCCATCGATCTCTACATCAGAAGAGCAGCTCGCGTTATTTACTTTACAGATGAAGAAAAAAGATAATCGTCCAACTATGGCATCCTTTGGGTGCCTAGCTACCAGGCCGCCGGAAGGAAGCACGAGGTTTGGGATACTGCCAGTTCGCCCAAGCCTAGACAGGGGAAGTCGAGAGGCAGAGGTCAGGTTCGAACCACGGACCTTTAGCGCTCTAACCACTGAGCCATCTTCCCCGCAACGATCCGGCAAGTTTCATCAAAACAAACCAATGGGAATTTACACACCTAAGGAATGTTATTGCAGTATTACAGTTAGGGCCAAATAGGTTCAAGTTCTAATTCTGATCGCTAAGGTCCCTAAATCTCACTGTACTGCTCTAGAATATCTTGTTTAACAGCCTCCTAATGTTCAAATGCGCGAAAACCGTTTGGCGCAGCTATTTTTCCATATGGTTGCGACGCCGTACACTAAAACTTTCCCGGTATTGCATAGTGGCCCACGTGGGCCATATATGGGGGAAAACAAACCTTAGTGCGAACCGTAACCACAACTCGACCTTGTATAAACTGTTTACTAGCTTGGGTTCCTTTCATTCTAAGAGAATTATTGTACTCGCTTAACACAATGTGTACCAAAGGATGTCGCGTTTTTAATTAGTATCCGCGATTCCCTTGGGGTTTAGAATAAGCAGTGTTTCCACAAACTTCATTTCCTACCATCTTCCTTGTCAATTCCTATTTGTCACTAAAAAATCCCCGAAATTCTAGGCTACGGAGAAAACAGTTTCTTGATTGTCACAATCGATCAGCTCCATGGATTGCACAAACCACGTGGCTTGTTGAAGGTGTGCGACGAACTACTGGATAGTAAAACGTATCACAAAATTTGTGGGCTAACAAGCCGAAACCGAATACATAATGTCCATTGTCTCTAAGACGTAAGCTGCAGGCTAAAAGGGAATAGTACAGAAGGAACTGACAGTTTATCCCATAAAGGTAATGAAAGGTAATGTGGGGTACAAACGGTGCTATACTCGACTCGACAAGGTGGCGAACGTCCAATTTCTTCAGTTACTGTGGAAGCCATCAACAGGACTTGAATGTCGCTCAAGCAGAATCACACGTGAGCCACCTAACAAACACGATGAAATACGAAGAAGGAGCGCTATAAAGTGCAAACAAGACGACTGGGCCCGCAATAACCCAAGCCACTCGAGGGTCTGAGAATCAGAAGATTACTTAGGGATGCATGAGGAAAAACAGGACTGGGTCATCGTTCAATAAGCCGGCACACCAATCACATCGCTCAAGTGTGAACACGTTCGCCTGTTCAGACGTGATAATTCAGATGCGTCCAACGTGCGTTGGTGGAGTAGTGGTTACACGCTCGCCTCGCATGTCAGATGTCCGGGGTTCAAATCCCGGCACGGCCATTGGATATGCACTGCTGATGAGCTTTAATAAGAGCGAAGCTCGAGTCCAGTGCTTCCCTTTGGTGTGGACTCACCGGAATAATTACGCCAGAACAGGAACACGGCTGTTCAAACGAGAGTGGTGTGGCTATGAACAAAAAAATACTTGTCCCGCAAAACCCCAAAATTGCAACAGGTAGAAGACTCCGTACATCAGAGCACACATGGAACCCAGAATGCGGGTGGGAGGAAACATAAAGCGAATAGATTTATGTTCACTTGGTGGGGAATGGAAATGCAAATGTCGCAGTGTCAACTACGTTAAACTTAAAGAGTGCTTACCACCAAGGAGACAATTTGAATTCACGACTTCGTTTCTTTGGATAGGAGATTTGCTTGGAGGGATTTCACGAGGGCCATGTTCATCTTAATTTTCTTCAACAATAGCAACCTTAGTGTGGAGTGTAGGTGCCTGACAGCCATATGACTATAATACCGCCTTACTATACTAACTAATTTACTAACTATACTGTACTATACTACTATACAACAAAGATTGTAAGCGGTAGAAAGGTATGGGGTTCGCTTAATACAAACCTACAGGACACATAAGTATCCAAAACCTACTCAGAGAGTACGGACCAATAGCGACGGCAAGACAACTGAAACTTGCTCGCAAAAATATCTTTCAGCCAAACGGAAATAGGTGCGAGTAGCATTTATCTTGGGGATAAATCGAACCGAGAGCACCTGGACCTTCCTCAAAACTCTTCATTCCGTTCTGCTAAGTCACAATTGGCCTGTTTCTTGGTTTACACTGAATTCACTATGAAAAACCAAGCGAGAAGACACTCATCGTTTATACCATACCAGTTTTGGCATCACAGCTCAACTGAATTCATTTTTTAAGACTACTACAGACCTTACTGAAAAACGCAACTTGAGTGAACTCCCTGTTTTTACGACCTCACGGAAACCCCCATGATTATCAGATGGCATTAGGCTTCGGGCTCAACAGCGGAGCTAACTTACCGCCATCTCAAATGTTGAAGGTTTTTGAACTTTTCTCCGGTAATGCCAGTGACCCTACACAAAAAACAGTAGCCAAATTAATCGTATGAGAAGCTTCTGGTGATCAGAGTGACCCTTGAAGAACCCGGAGAGGAAAAGCCCATTTACGGTATGCACAAGAAGCACTTGGTGTGCGTCTCCCTGACCCTTAACGAAGACAAATTATCAGAGCTTTTAAAGAGTATTCCAAGGCTACTGAAACATAGGTGTTGCAAAAAAACCTGCCCCATACACCCAATACCAGGCAATCCGTGGGGTAAAACAGGTGTGACACCGGTACACAGTGAACTGGCGTTTGTATTAACCTGTGACGTCATCCACCACGAGCGCTTCTTCCATTACTAGGACAGGGTGAGTTAATTTATTCGACAAAACCTGTTCGGTGACGTAGAATAAAATATCACTGTGTACCGTAGTGTGACGGTTGGTGTACCTCCGCGACCCGCTGAACTATCCGCGTGACACTGGAAATCTATCATAATAGGTTGGTCAATGGTTAGAGGTCTGACGAACGCACGCAGCTGGCAATCCAGATTAGGGGTTCGACCTGTTCCTTAGGAATGGTAATGCATTTGCATTTCCCGCCAAACACCACTGCTTTGCGGTTAGGTTTTTGAGACAAGGGCTTTGGTTGAGAACCCGAATCGTCCCCCTAAGTAGGTGTGAGCGCCCTGACAGTATTTGCGTACAACCATGATACAACTAACAATTTTCTTTGTGCCACATCAGACGTCGCGCGGTGCTATCAGCCGGTCACCTTATTTGCGGCAAACAGCAGGGCGGGTAAGCGAAAACAGGCTACTGCTGACGCCTCCTATCGTTCTCATCCACATAATCTTTCTCCCCCCCTCTCTCCACCCCATTAATGACTCTCCCCTTGGAGGCCCAGAAGTTAAGACTGATGACTCAGTTCGTTCTGCATCGGTTTTTCAAGTAACATTTACGTGTCATCCGGCGCCGACATCCTCAGACATTGTGAAATCAAGCGTCAAGCCTCGGCGCCCAGTCTATCTGGCTGCCATCAATGTCTGCACTCTGAAGCAAGCAGGTCAACAAGCTGCTTGTGCTCTCACACTGGACTCGCTTGACACTGATGTGTGCAGTGTATCAGTAAAAAGTTTGAGATACACACACATCACTCTCCACTCGCTTCCAACTGCGCAAGTCTGGCGACCCAGAGGCTGCCGCGGCAGCATGTGTAGTTGTTGGTATCGCTCTAAGTGACCGGGCGAACCGGTCACGAACTCAACTCGACCACATTGACATTAGATACCGATAGCGCGGATCGATAACTGACTGTCGCTCGTTTTCCAACACATTTGTGGATTCCGACCCCACGCGCTCGTCCGGAGTTGTTTCTTCCTTTGTTTTCCAAGGCCGTGTAAGGTGCAGACAAGTCGCTTGGCAACTGAGAGACTGGTACATCCAGATCTTAGACAAATTTACCGGAATTGCCTTCCAGGGTCTCTTCCAACTGCCCCACCGTCAGATATGAATTTGTACTGGGACGAGATCACCACCCCCTTGCATAGTGCTGGGATATTTGCATGTGGCACGGTGCTACTAGGCTCAATCAAGCACTGGGTATCAGACCGAACAATGGCGCTCTCTAAATCTCAGAAAAATATCCCAGCCGGTCACGACAAATCATCACATGTGTCAAGTGAGAGTGAGCGTGGAAGGCGACCGTGTAGTTTAGTGGACACGAAAGGCGAAGAAAAAGGAAGGGGCCCAGGAAGCGGGGAATGTTTGAAGATTATTTCAGTTGATCCGTGCGACCGGTCCCCGAAAACCACCCGTGAGCGAAACCATCAGAATGAAGGGACCATCATAAACACCATGAACGACCATTGGGCTGAATACTTCGCACAACAATTATCGTGGCCAGCAGCTGCTACTCATCTGAAACCCCACAGCTAATGTAGAACCTTGGACGGTGAACGTGGAGCCCCTAGGACCTCGAAGGTGCACGACTGCAAATGTTCTCTCAAGCGCCACCCGCATTGTTAAAAATGGGGTTGAAGTCATCAATCAGCGCTTGTCTGATCTGTTTTCCCGCATTTTGGAAAAGGAGACTGTGTGTACAACTGGGGAGAGTTGGTGACGGTGCCCATTGTCAAAAAAGGCTCTTAGTGAGTGTGATAACTACAGAGAGATCAGCTTGACCACGATCGTAACGAGACTTTTGGCGTCACTGGTGCTGCATTGCCTAATGGTAGCTCGTGAAACACTGATCAAGAGCAGCATGCAAAATTTCTGCCTGGTAGGGCTTGCGTTGACCAAATCTTCACACTCCGTCATGTGCTCAAACAAAAGTATACGCACAAACGACCCAGAATTTTAGTATTCCTGGATTTCGAAGGCACGTTCGACGCGATTGACCGGTGTATTCTTCTTGACACGCTTGTCCATCAGGGAACGCCCTGGAAGTTTGTGAAACAGTTGGTTCCTCGTATTCTCAGACTTCCGAACGTGTGAGAGTATACGGAGAGCTCACCAAGAGCATTCGCACACAAAATCGTGTCCGTCAAGGATGCCCACTCTCTCCATTCCTATTTANTCCCACATTTACTCAAGAATTACTGAAAGAAACAACACCCAATGCTAGTGTGTTCGCAAAGTGAACTAACTCCCGAAGCAACCTCCAGTTGTCAAGGAAAGGAAGACATCCACTACGGTTGGAGCGCAAACCAATCACAGATTGCCTGAAAAGCTGATTGAATGAAACAGAAATCACGCCATCCGGAACGTACCCATCGTCCAACGGTGGAGCGCCATCCGACGATGCAGTTATTCAGCCACGCATGAGAACGGATGACAGACCTGGAGAAGATTGCTGAGTTGCTTATGCGCACGCCATCCTCAATGATCACATGAGCACCTATAGTCACGTTCGGACCGATACGACAATCTTTTCCAATTTTTGCGGTCGGATCCTGAAACAATGGGTGAGTGGTGAAATTTAAGTGAGTCGAAGGCCAAGAAGCTGGTCCACTACTGAAAGGTTTGTGAATGCGAGACGAAATTGCATATATCCAGAGGATGCAAGGTGGATTGCAGATGGACAGCAATAAGTGGAAAGGAATTTCGTTCCGCGTAAAGTGGCGATAAGACGGGAGTGCAGTACTATGTTAAGTAACCATGGTAATAAACAAGCCATCAGGCGAGGTTATCCAGTTATCGTCAATAAGTCGCTACAGTGGACCATGACCGCAAGTCCAGTGGCCATCCAGCGATATTTTTCACTGAAGACGGGGCACTCTGGACGCGAGCCAATGAACAGTGCTTTGTCTAGGGTCTGTGAGATGCCCTTCTGTGGCTCAGAATAGTGATTATTGTAGAAGTCTTTGGATTTCAGTTGAAAGCACTGATACAATCACGGACCACTCTGTGATGACAGAGCGGATCACTTTCTCGCTCTTCAGGTGTGCTCTTCATGTGACTGCCAACTGGTATGGTGAAATTAAGGAGTATTAAAACTGCTGTTAATAAGAAGTGATTCATTCACATATCTGTTATAACTCACAACATTTCATCAAAATAGCGGATTGAATGATATAGCTTAAGGTTCTCTATTCCGGTAATCTACTGTTTCACTGCAGGATTTAAGGTCACGTAAGGACAACGAAACAAATTTTCGACGCAGCAGAAAATGCCCTAAGACCTCATTCACACGTGGTTAGCATGTTTAGGTGATACCGAGGCTGCAAAATTGTGATTGGATGAATCAAGACTAAGTTATACACGGGGAAGACATTCATTCGAATACAGAATTTGATTTATTTGGACATGCGAAGTAACATTTAGCGAAAAACCGAAAGTGCTGAGGTTTTATCAGTAGTCCTCAGTGTGAAGTCAGTCAAACGAAATGCACGCGGGTGGACAGTAGGATCAAGAAAGTAACACAAACCACTCTCCTGTCTATACGGTTGAAAAGGCAGTTGTCCTTAACATGTGAATATTATGAGTATATCCCGGCAAGATCCACATAGGCCTACTGATTACATAGTTCTATCCAGTAACGAGTCTGGCTACCAATCGCCTGGTGATAAAACAGTTACGACCACCTTGACAACCGACACATGAGCGTAGTGTTGACCCATTAGAAGATTGTGCAATTCTGTCGGAAACATACTGGCTAACGCGGTTGTCTATTTCTCGGCTGACCAGTCTAGTAGCTCTATTATTGCCCATTTTTTTCTCGGGACAGGCCTGTCAATAATCCACCCGAATTCGAACAAAACTGGCCGTTGTTTGCGTGTAGGTAGTGCCTATCATAACCACAACCGAAGAGGCAAAGGTCCCATTGACCATCATCAGTGGAAACGAAGTTTTCTGGAACAATATCTCTAAGGCGGGGTGTTGTGGTAAAAACAGTTGAGGGTATTCACCTGTTTCAGAAGTTACAATAGAAGCTACTAAATAAATTGTAGAGTGAAAAGTGTAAAGTGCTCAAGCGGTTGCACTCTGGACATGGAGAGAGGAACCCGAGGCATCTGCGCTGAGTTTATCGGTATTCCGTATTTCTCCGGCTTGGTATCGCTGATGAAAACGTCAATCTATTGTTTCAACTATGGCGTTTCTAACCTTACTGCTTCATGTTGCTAATTTCTAACCCGATTAAAAATAAACGCGTTCATATTGGATAAACGTTCGTAGTTAGGTAAAACAACTAAGTTTTGCGTAAACGTGTTGTTAAGATGGTCCTTTGGCAGTGTGTTCGGAGAGGCAAATGCCCCCACCGAAAAATCGGAAGGGAATCGATAGGCTGTCCTAAATTAGACCGTTGTAAAATAACGAAGTGCATTCGAAGGGGACATTTATAGGTTCATTGAGAATACAGCTTCGGCACTTTCACCCATCAATCTCTACATCAGAAGAGCATCTCGCGTTATTTACTTTACAGATGAAGAAAAAAGATAATCGTCCAACTATGGCATCCTTTGGGTGCCTAGCTACCAGGCCGCCGGAAGGAAGCACGAGGGTTGGGATATTGCCAGTTCGCCCAAGCCTAGACAGGGGAAGTCGAGAGGCAGAGGTCAGGTTCGAACCACGGCCCTTTCGCGCTCTAACCACTGAGCCATCTTCCCCGCAACGATCCGGCAAGTTTCATCAAAACAAACCAATGGGAATTTACACACCTAAGGAATGTTATTGCAGTATTACAGTTAGGGCCAAATAGGTTCAAGTTCCAATTCTGATCGCTAAGGTCCCTAAATCTCACTGTACTGCTCTAGAATATCTTGTTTAACAGCCTCCTAATGTTCAAATGTGCGAAAACCGTTTGGCGCAGCTATTTTTCCATATGGTTGCGACGCCGTACACTAAAACTTTCCCGGTATTTCATAGCGGCCCACGTGGCCATATATGGAGGAAAACAAACCTTAGTGCGAACCGTAACCACAACTCGACCTTGTATAAACTGTTTACTAGCTTGGGTTCCTTTCATTCTAAGAGACTTATTGTACTCGCTTAGTACAATGTGTGCCAAAGGATGTCGTGTTTTTAAATAGTTGGTTACTGCCTTATCACCCTCTCTTGAATCAGATGCAAGGTTAAGGAAATTTGTTTTTGTGACACCCTTACAGTGCACTCTAGACGACCAGCTGAAAAGGATAAATGGATGGAGCGCCACGGAGTAGGGAACTGGAACGATTTCCATTTATTTACTGAGCATAGTAGTGGGATCAAAAGTATCAGTTTTACATTCCGAGTGGTGGTGGTTAGCTCTGAATAATCGAGGCAAACGAAGAAGTGAGACTGATTTGCGTGCCCTAACTAACGAAATTTGAAGCAGCCAAACAATCTCCGAGAAACTAGGTACGGTATCCGCGATTCCCTTGGGGTTTCGAATAATCAGTGTTTTCACAAACTTCATTCCCTACCGTCTTCCTTGTCAATTCCTATTTGTCATAAAAAATCCCCGAGGCTACGGAGAAAACACAGTTCCTTGATTGTCACAATCGATCAGCTCCATTGGTTGCACAAACCACGTGGCTTGTTGAAGGTGTGCGACGAACTGCTGGATAGTAAAACGTATCACAAACTTTGTGGGCTTACAAGCCAAAACCGAATACATTATGACCATTATACCCAAGACGTAAGCTGCAGACCGAAAAGGAATAGTGCAGAAAGAACTGACGGTTTATCCCATAAAGGTGATGAAAAGCAATGTGGGGTACAAACGGTGCTATACCCAACTCGACAAGGTGGCGAACGTCCAATTTCTTCTGTTACTGTAGAAGCCACCAGCAGCACTTGAATGTCCATCAAGCAGAATCACACGTGAGCCACCTAACAAACACGATGAAATACGAGGAAGGAGCGCTATAAAGTGCAAACAAGACGACTGGGCCCGCAATAACCCAAGCCGTTCGAGGGTCTGAGGATCAGAAGATTACTTAGGGATGCATGAGGAAAAACAGGACTGGGTCATCGTTCAATAAGCCGGCACACCAATCACATCGCTCAAGTGTGAACACGTTCACCTGTTCAGACGTGATAATTCAGATGCGTCCAACGTGCGTTGGTGGAGTAGTGGTTACACGTTCGCCTCGCATGTCAGATGTCCGGGGTTTAAATCCCGGCACGGCCATTGGATATGCACTGCTGATGAGCTCTAATAAGAGCGAACTCGAGTCCATTGCTTCCCTTTGGTGTGGATTCGCCGGAATAATTACGCCGGAACAGGAAAACGGCCGTTCAAACGACAGTGGTGTGGCTATGAACAAATTCAGTGTCGAAAGCAGAGAGGTGGCCAACCCTTGACCTGACAGAGGAGTATGAAGGAGATTACGAAACATTTGGGTATTGTTGGTGCGACTCGACTTGCAGGATGTGAACCGCGTGATCCTTACTGTGCCTGGTTTTGGAGACGGTGCAAAATACGGCTGCTAATCGATGTCAGTGGCGTTTTGTTGTCTGTTTCTATACAGATTGCCTGACTGAGTGTCTGGAGTTGTAGGCACCTCGAAATGATTGTGGTAGGCTGGCTCTAAGACCCCGTCCACTTTTATTCTTTTCTTGAAAATAAGGCTTTCAGATAAATCATGGTCGTAGGGTAGTGGAGCATTGTGTGGAACACTAATGTCATGCTGTCGATGATGATGAGGTGAGAGTGAAGAAAACGCCCGGTTCGCAGAACTTCCTAAAGTTCAGGAGACACGTAGTAGGTTCTGCATTGATAAAAGCATACATCGTAGACGGGTAAATTTACATTAATCAGGCTTACTGATGCTGGGCTTTTTAGCCACAAGTCCTAACTTTTTGTACCCCTTCGGGAAGGGGAGTTTTACTGTGTTGTCCTGCCTGCGCAACCTACCTGATTCTTAATCCTTACCGGCTGCGCAGCTGCACATGGTCAGGCACAGCCAAATATGGATGAACCCAAGAATTTCAGTGTATTTAAGATGAATCAAGTGGGACAGCGGTGCTAAAGGTTTTTGAAAAGGCGCTACCGGATAAATGAATATCAGTAACTGTCTTTCAGTACCAAACCCAACGAAGTATATCGTTGAATAAGCTGAATGACTGCATCTCACTATTTGACCTTTTATTACTTGGTGGTGATACAAACACGCGTGCGTCATCAGCCTCTCTCAAAAGAATGGTGAACAGGCGGCAAATGGCCTGTCGAACAATAAACAAAAAATGGTAGTGTGAGGAAGATGTAGTTTACCAATCGTCACCAACCTAACAAAGCTGAACAATGTTGAGTTAGCTCAGTCATATTCTCAACCTTCAACGTCTGCGGTGAATGCTGCCATGCTAAACTATCAACCGAGCCGTCTTGGTTTAAGAACAGCTTGCTCATGTAGCAACTAACCGAAGTATGCCGACTGGGCTAGTCACTATCGTATTGACCATATTGTAATGATTTTACTTTGAGACGAATCCGGTACTCTGAAAGCCATACAATATCAACTCATCTCGCACTACCAAGGTTTTACCAAGGTGATTTGTTTTTTCGAGAAGGGGTTGCGAGAATTGTCTTCTCGAAGAGAAGCGTTTCTTCTGGGAGATTTTCTCTTAGGAAGTGTAGCGTAAAAGAGAGAAATACAGTCTGATTCTGGTTAACTGATTTCTCCAAGCTCAGGTTTTTGAAAAGTTATCTCAAAAATCGTGAAATACTCGAATATTAACCCGGACAAGTAGCAGAATCAAACTGACACCACCTTAAGGGACTCGAAAATAGACTGCAGTTCGAAGGCAATAACCAACATATTGGCGTTGTGAGGATGCCTAGTGATCTGTTCGTCAAGCTCATGTGTCAGGAAGTCTGACAACTAGAGAGCAGTCAAGTGTCCTCCGCAACTTTTCACCATCCACGGGATGGTGATTTATATTCGACATGCACGCAAATGTGGGCAGTGGTGGCCTGACGTTGAAAACCGCCAACCACTGGGACATATGACTCATTCTGCTACACTGCTCTGATAAGTCCCAGTTAGGCTGAAACTCCAGAAATGACCGTAGTGTGCTCTTATGTATCTACCGATACCTACACATTCTTTTTTCAAAAGGGTAGATAAAGAACTGGTGGAATTTTAAAGCAATAAAACTTGACCGCTTGAGAACTAGAGAAGTCTTTCTTAAACATCTGCTCAGTGGTTGCCAGATTTTTACTGAGAAAAGGCTGCCGAACAATTCGATAGCGTAAGATAAGCGTTTACACCCATCTATTTTTTGAGTCTTCTTGAAGAGTCATGCTTATTCTTCCAGTCACCTGAACCGGCTAGTGTTCGAATGATGAATTGCAAAGCAAAACAACAGGGCTGGAAGGCCCAGCTTTTTGAATTATACCACGATCTATTTAAGTATGTAAGGCACGTGCTCTACGCTGTCCGTAGGTCAGTCGTCAGTTGGGTACGACATAACGGATGACGGAAAGTGGTGCAGATGAAAAAAGGAAACAGTTTCGTGACACCAAGAAAGCTCGTGAGAGAACAACAGACGGTCATTTTTTAGTGTGAAACATGCGCACAAACCGCATTCAGGTTGTGGTAGGAGCAGGAAGATTTCCTACTTAGCATCGGGTACCTCAAATGACGGATATTCTGCAGGGTATCCAATACGAAGTAAATGGCAACCAAGCATATTCAGGAAGAACGAGACAAGACACTGAGCTTAGTAGTTCAAGGTACGATAGCGCGAAATACGCTGATCAGTCATAAATCGAAATCATTCGGCTGTAGCACCTTTTCGATGCCTAGCTGCCATGCCGCACGAAGGAGACACGAGGGATGAGATACTGCCAGGTTGCCCAAGCCTAGATAGGGGGATTCGAGAGGCAGAGATCGGGTTCGAACCACGGAACTTCCGGTCAGTAAATTCTTGCTCTAACCCCCTGGGCCATCTTGTCCCCAGTTTACTGGTGCCGACGAGTAAACTATGTCCAGTTTCAGCCCTCTCATTAAATATGAATTTTGTAGAACGAGGATGGTCATTATGTGGGAAACGGATGTCCCAATGAAATGCGTAGTCGCCTTGCCTTGTTTTTTATGTTCTCGAGTCTGTAGTGTTTTAGTCACTCATCCTGCTCTCTGACCACTTATTTTACTGGACCCTCCCAACTCGATCACGAATGAATGCGACCTCAAAACCGGTCATTATTTTATGGATACACTGGACCCAAAAATCGATGGTTATTAAGGTTCCGAATATCTCAATGGACCGAAACTAACTTCCATTGACGGTACGCCCACCAGTAGGGGACGTTTTACACGCATGCGTTTTATTCAGTCAGCACGCAACTACGGAAAATTAAAAGATAACCAAACGCCTATGCTTTCCTAAAGGGAGTGATATTCATCGTTGGGTTCTGGTATAATATTTTGTTTTTGTTTAATATTTTGGTCCACCTGACTCTCAAGCTAAAAGAAACCCCGTTGATTCTCCTGATCCACTACCTAGTCAAAAGTTTAAATTTTCAGTGTCGAAAATCCTGGTTTTCATTGCAAGCTGATGGCTAAGCGCAATATGCAACTGGAATATGTAGACAACTTTCTTTTCCTCTTCTAAGAGAGAAAGAAGGCCGAGGTGTTTTTTTACGAATCGACCAAAGTCCTTTCATACACTCTGCACCCATAAAGGGTAAGATCATGTTTCTGGACACTCAGTCACTGAACACGCCAATTACAATCGCAGAAGGTGCATTCGAGGTTATGTAGAGTCCTACGTATCTTGGAAGTTTCGATCGCAGTGCGACAGACGAGGTCACTGCACAAATCTTCGAGGTTCGGGTCCCATTTGCAAATTTGGCATATAAATAAATCTCTCTGTTGAATGATAGTGAGACATGACCATTATGAGCAGTCAAATTGAAGCGTGTTCAGGTTTTCCATAACCGTTTTCCCAGAGCGGAAGATCGTGCAGGCTACTGCCAGCGAATCCACAGCGAGACAACCAGAAAGCGAGTGTTCGGTTGTGCAACAGGGATTTCAGTCCCAGAATGTGTCCCGCACCAAAAACTGTGTAGGTTTTGTCATGCATTGTGTAAACCGAGTCATTGTTTTCCGTATTCATTTCAGAATGGCGGAAGCAGAGAGGTGGCCAGCCCTTGAACTGACAGAGGGGTATGAAAGAGAATACGAAAAGCCTGTGTGTCTTTGGCACGACTCGCCTTCCAGGTTTGGGTTCGCGTGATCCCCTCGATGTGTCTTTGCATAAACTGCAAGATATGGCTGTTAATCGATATCAGTAGCATCCATGTTCTCAGTTTCTATTTAGGTTGTCTGAATGAGTGTCTGGTAGTGCAAGAAACTGGTTGTGGTAACCTAGCACTAATTCCTATCCCCATCTACTTTCATTCCGTTCTTCACAATAAGGCTTTCAAATAAATTACGATTGTGGGGCGGTGAAGCGGAAGCGTCGAACGCTGATGTTGTGCTGTCGATGATGACGATGCAATATTCAATTATATGCACCACACATACGGCACCACGAAGTGTCAATGCACTTAGGAGTTGATGAATGAATACCGCACTAACGGGATAGCAAATACACGCAAGACTATTTAGTCGGATTAAAAAAACAATGTTTATCTTTTAAGTGCTATCTCCTTCTGAAACATTCTCAGTAAGATCAACTTCAACTGGCGTTACCACGACCAATGCGACCCGGCAGACCTGGCTTTAAGCGATCGTCGGTGTCAACAAACTGATGACGACAGACATTTCTCAGCAAACTCAGTTTCTCATTTGACGGCTCAGTTCGTTGGTTTACGATCCTTACCAATAGCTGAAGAGAATACAAACCGACTGCTTGACACCCGCAGTATGTGCAGGTGGTTTGCGTGGATTTTAAATGACCCATGTCCGTTTATCCATGCTAAGCATTCGGATTATCTAGGTGACAGAGCTTGTTCCAAACTGACACGAGGTGCTGTTGAACAAACAATCGGGCACAAACTGTTCCTTCCGGAGAGATCGTGGAATACGCACCGTAGACCACCGTTCCATTCGTGTATACTGGTGTCAATCTAGAAGGAAGAGCTCCAAATAATAAATATGTGGGTTGATAATCTGAACATTGGACAGAGCGAAACTGGTTGGGGTGCTTGGAACAGCTATCAGCTGACTGAGACAAGACTGTTGGCGTGTACTGATGGTGGATTGCGCACAATGTTTGGATGGTAAAAAGGTATACCCGTCTATTTTAGTGGAAAAACGTCCAGAAATGAGAATCTGTCGCTATGACAGGAAACCTCGCGGAAGAGATAACTGCACCATAATCTCTCTTGGTATATTCTCCAAATACACCCATTTGAATACCAATTCGGTTTTCACAGGAGACTCAACTGAATCTCTCGTTTACGATGTCATCCAACTGAATGTGTTGCACAGAGGCCACGTGACGTTACATTTATACGATATTCGAGATATCGCATGACGTTCTCCTAGAGGAAATTACTCACAAAGTTGCTGAAAACTTTGATGAGCCTCAAGAGGGGGAAACCAGTCATGGACTATTAAAGAGTTTTCAGCAGCCTTGTAAGTGGTTTCCTTCAACATCTATCTCTTTAAATCTTCCTTCTTCCACTATAAGAAACTGTTATACATATGTTTCTGTCCGCACTCACGGAGTAACGTAATTCCAACACGCCATATGCTGCACGCCCACATACAAAACCATCATGATCCGTTCATACCCATAAACGCTCGACTGTAATATTTTAAATCTAATCATGATGCTTTTGAGCACTACGCATGCGGACCTACTGGCATCGGTTTCGGTGTCATCAGCATCATTGAGGATGATCGCTCAAAACGATTACTGCTAGCGTTCGCCGACGGTTGCCCACATGGGACAGAGAGGGCTTCTGCGCTTGGAAACGGGGAAATCTTGGCATTCCTCAGTAGCGCTGGATTCAGGCTAAAGTAGCTGTTACCGACAGTCTTTTGACTTGAGGGTCATGGCATGAAAGCCTTGCAAGCCATTTTCGCGGAACTTTCTAGACGGCCTCAGGTCAACTTCAAGCAGTTCAGTCACGGTCGTTGGTTCAAATGTGGCATGGCTGTTCACTACAGCACGACAAAGACAATTTTTTATTGTTCCATGGGGCCAAAATAAAGCGGTCATTATTGGGACTGGTCTCTTCGAGAAATTAACTTCCCGATCGGGGACAGCCAAATATCCAGTGGGATAAACTGAAGAGTTCTCCTGAAGGGCCATCCCTTCTGACAATAGTCGCATGCGGGATCAGAAGGCGGTGAATTCTGAAATCCTGAGAAATGATTTTTTTTTCGATACCTTGGTGTCCAATAAATTTTGAAGTGAGTTAAAAAAGAAAGTAAAGTAACACACCCAGGACGATTACAATGTTGCAGGGTCTAGTGGTTGCCAGATATGTCTGTCCTATTCCAATAAGATCAACAAAACACTGTTCTCCAAAGAAGACCACATTGGTTGTGGAACTGGCACCTTTATTATCATCTGGGCCTGGTTAAAAGGGGTCACGCTTGTTCAGTCTACAGCGGAGGACAACTGCAATGGCCGTGTACGAATGAAACCATAAGATCCTTAAGGTAAGATAGACACTAACAGACATGGCTTAGTCATATACCCAGTGTCATTTCAGTGTCCAATATGAAGCCCACAACGCATAGCTCAACATTTTCGCCAGTCCGCCGTTAAGGGACACGTTTCGACCCATACGCGGTCACAACCTGTTTTGAACTGTCAGAGTGCGCAGTTCTTTCACGCCATTCCACTATTCACCAGTGAACAAAACTCTGGCAACTAGAACCGTTGGCCAACTTGTAAACGGTTTGTGGTTGACGATGATGACCGTACTTGTCTAGTATTAGGATTCTCTGTTGGGTGGGATAAACTATCTCCAGGAGCACCTAGAGTTGATTTTGATGGGAGTTAAGGGATGCCCTGTTGGTATCTTGGTGTTACAGCCCTCGGTGGACAAATAGAGCGGAACTTAACAGGGAAGTTCGCAACATTCAGTTTCGTCAAGACTTACCCAGTCTACACAGAGAATCACTGTGCAGCGAACGCATGCAATTAATGATGAGCACACCATTGTATCTCCCTCTAAGTGCGCAGTGGATGGCATTGACATTAAGTTATATTTAAAATGAATGGGAATATCCTCACACAACCACAGCTTGTGTGATTTTCCAGCAACATTACTGAAGACGCCACGTAACGAATAGCATTCGTTTTCCACTTATTACCTCTGTGTATGCTTCGCAGTTAAGTAGTGTAAGTAGTGTAAAGGGAGCGTGATATGAACTTATCTGATAACCGAAATAAAACAGCTGGACATAAACGATTTCTCCTAGATTATCACTTGCCGTAGGTAAGGCAATTTATCATGGTGCACATAAGTTTAACGAAAAAAATGGGTCATGACACCTTTTCGGTGTTTCTGTCATGCAACTCGGAGGGGGGGGGGGCACGCTGGAACAGAATATTGCCTATTTGACCTTGACTTTTTTCAACCTGGACTGAAAAGATCGTGTACGACATCAAAACTCTCTCACACAGTCCTCTCAATGATATCACATGGGTGGTACCGAAAACAAACAGAACGCGATAAGAGACAAGTGAATTTTTCAACTGCTTGCCCACCCATTGTGCTCACACATGTCTGGACACCAACTGCGTAAATCAATGTGAGGCTAGAGATTGTTGATCGTGAAACATCACTACGAATTTAAACTGAAAAAAGTAACAAGACCAAAGTGCAAATGGGATGAAGCAATCCTAAGAGTTGAATCACATACGATCTTGAAACTAATGACAAAAGTTCGGTTTGTATAGTCGAAGTAATAGGATAAGAAGGATAAATGATGTAGCCATCTTGAATGAGACGCTAGGTATATGCTTATCCTACTGAATACAGTCCTAAGCTCAAGGGATGGCAGTATACAGTAATTCGATGTTTTACAACAGACGCATAATCCGGTGCAGGGATACATGAAATAAACTCTCATATATTTAGTAGTCCCGCTCAAAAAGGCCAGTGACGAGCCCCACAAGACGTTGGTGTGCCTAAGATTTTCTTGTAGGGCTCTAGTCAAATGTTAGTCATCTACCGCTCAGAAATAGTTCAGACCGTTGTCCAGCCTACAAAAAACGGAATTTTAACACACGACCTCTACGAGTCTTCAAAGACAATTGTGTGGAAGTGTGATAACACAAAGCACCAGCATGGGCGCATATTGACCTCATTTGGCCACTGCAACGAGGCAAGAGGATGAAGAGTGAACCGTGAGCACAACTACTGAAAAATACCGGTGAACAGGCAACCAATAGAGGCTCGTTCAACCACTGATTTCATCAACGCATACAATAAAATACCGGCATTCATACAGGCTTTGAGTTGAGCCTGGATAGGCAGGTGAGCAAGTATTCACCGAAGGGCAAAAGGATGCTGTTTGCTGCAGGCAAACAGGATTAGCACGAAATAATAGGGCCAAAAGTATCTACAGAGAAAATTTTTGGTCAAAGAAGCACTGGTTTTGGAGGTCCTTCACCAAGGCCCATCGTGACACGATCCCGTAATGCAGCAGATCGGATAAGAAACGTTGAAAGACTACGCAAACGTCACAATCCGGTGCTCCAATGGTCAGCAGGATCCTCCCATATTGAAACTAAATTGTCGTTCGCCTCTTTGATTCATCAGAGTAAACGGCTGACCTGTCTTTTTGATGTCTTTTGATCGCAGTATGACCTCGGTTTTTAAATTTGCACATTCGTTGAGGTTTACTATTTACAAATGTGTCGAACCAGCAACTGAAGTTCGCATTCGACCGTAACAAAATTACGCCAGTTTTCTAATTTTTGCATTTCCGTGTCGAGATCGAAAGTTCATTTTTCATCGATGGGAGCACCACTGTCTGCAAGTATAGATTTTTCAGTCGCAGTGTCCCATTTCACTGCTTTACCGTAGCAATATGGAAGGGAAAATCGATGATATTCAATGGGATATCTATGTTAGTAACTTAGCTTCAGTAACAATAAACACTTTCTGGATTGTACGAGATATAGTTGAGGTTGGTCAAGTAAGCCGATACTGAAGACCAGTAAGGATATCACCAGCTGGATAACCAACAAGTGCTTTGTGACTAATAGACATTCAAATAGATATTAAACAAGGTTCTCACTTAGAAAAAGTGCTACAACCGAATCGGTAAACGTGACTCAAGCAAGCACATTTCACGTTGCCTTCAGCAAAATCACAATGGTTCCCCGTTCAATAATTCAATAGAAAGCACTAAAATACTGCTCCTCTGGGCATTCCTCATTTCGACTCAATACCCTATCAAAGCTGGTACCGCATGCCAAACTTCGATTCAGGGCGATGCCTAAACGCATACCCAGCAAGTGTCATGACGCGCTGCACGATCACAAGGTAACACAACAAACGTCATAATTCTAAGGTGTGCATCACCAGTGGCTACCAGGAGGATAGAAGGGTTAATGAAGATAAGCAGCGTTAAACACTCACTCATAAGATGTGTTGACGTGAGCGAACGCCTCACAAGTAATGCCACACCACGAAACTTATGATGATCTTACGGGAAAGAAAAAGCATCGGTTTATGTCGGACACTAACCCACATTAATGATACCCTAGCGCTTCACACCCAAGTCAGCACACTGGACTTTTTGTCAGAGAGGGAGACGCAAGCTCGACATAATATAGGATTCGGCGGCTATGGGACTCTGCTTCACTTTAGCGGAGAAGCTCAAGCTCCTGGAAGAAGCTCCGCAAACTCTCACTAGCTCATTGATTGTGACCAGATGGGCACTGCTGTCTCGAACGGTAACGATGACCTGATCAGTATAGTGAACAAGTGAGGTCCCCACCCAGGATTCCAGATTATTTACTGGAATCAGATCTAGGTCTTACTCTATGCGTCCACCTGGTCTCTGAAAGCCAACTTTAGGCAACAAAAATACGTAACATCCCGAAACTAAATCATCCTATAATATCAGTCGGACATCGTAAAATAAAGCAAGATTAAGCACATAGGGTGAAGCGTGTGTCTTTTTGTACAACCCCTTGCGGCTTACCGACCTACCGATTGTAACTTCGGTTCCCTGTTAGATGCCAATACGAAAAGCAGATTATGCATCGTCCTCAGTCCACCCACTCAAGCTAACCCTCTGATCCATCACAAATGTAGAGCAAAACTTCATTCTCATTGGAGTGGAACGACGTGATGAATGTAAGAATTCTATCAAATGCGAACCTAAGGTCGTGTGTATGGACAAAGCGTTTGTTGACACGAGATCTAGAGGTGCAATGGGAAAGTGTTTCACGAATAGAGGTGAAGAGAATAGAAAGGGAAATTTTAGAGCTCGAATACCTATAAGAATCACCAGTCTAAAGTATTTCCGGCTTTCTAAAGCAAGCAAACTGGATGCGAAAAAATGGCGGGCGATTTCTGTAAAATGTTGATCTAGCCTAGGAACTTCTCATACTCAGCAGTTGGGTAGCCTGCTCGCTTTCCGTTATCTAAGCGATCAGGTTTCGGACCTCAACTCCAAACATAAAACAAGATGGAAACACTTTAGTAGAAAAAATGAGTAATTGTTCGGGTGTAGCGCCTTTTCGGTGCCTAGCTGTCGTGTCACCTAAAAGAAGCACTAAGGCTGATATACTGCTAGGTTGTCCAAGCCTGAACAGAAGTAGTCGTGATGCCTGGGTTGGGTTTGAGCCAGACAGAAGCAGTCGTGATGCCTGGGTTGGGTTTGAGCCATGGACCTTCCGGTTAGTAAGTTCGCGCTTTAACCACAAAGCTGCCTCACTGATCAAGTAAAACCTGACATTTTAAAATGAACAAGGGAAAGTTATTCGTCAGTATGTTTGTACTACTCCGGGGTGCGTGAGCAACAGTCAAGAAATTATCTGCTCCTGTCGTATCGCGAATACGTCTGGACAATCAGTGATGGCGCCAAAGCAGATTTCATAAGATTAAGACAACCGAATACTCCGTCAGTTGTCACATGCCAACGACAGTGCAAGCGCTGACAATATAATCCGTATGGGGTTGTAAGTTGCTGAAGAATCCTCTGATTGTCACCTACGTACAGTATTCCGTGAACGATACTTAACGTACTTGGAACCCTTCACATAAAATATGATAAAGTCACACAAAAACATACTGGTGAAACAAGACTTACAACCATAACGTTTCCAAGGAGATCCGGGAGGGTTTTTAGAGCTAGAGATTTTTGTTCGGATAGGTGAGCTAAGTATAAACGAACGCCTTCTAAATAGTCAGCTGGTTGTCCAATGTCCATCCAGAATCCTTTAAAGAGATAAGTCACAAGGAATTGGAGCATTGTTTCAGATAAAGGAAGCATCAATAAATAAGGATCGAACATTTCATGGGAAAATGTTTGAACATATTAATATGCTTATACCATGTGAACAGGGATGAGATGACAGAATGGTCAGGGTAAGTGCCTCAGAAATAGCAAAACTTGTGTTCCGGTAGGTAAGTTCAAACGAACACTGTAGAAGGCAAATCAAGATTACAATGTTTTCCTCATCATGCTGTTGTACGATATTCGGCCCATTTCTGTCAAATGGCTGGTTAATAAGTGTTTATTGGCCTTCAACCTACAATGAGCATCAGTGAAAAGATCGGAGCTTAGGTAATACTTGGCAGGACAAACAGAAGAATAATTAGTTAATGTTGTATTAGTGAATGCGTCACACAGGGATAACATCCATCATAGTTACGATTACTGCTGGCTAAGGATCGCTCTGGCAGCAGAGCATGGCAAATTTCCAGCTGATATTTCATCCCGTAGGTGGGTTAACTGAGTTAATCACTGCTGATTGCCCGCTAGTGGCCGAACGACTCGATCTTCAATCATGAGAATGGAGTGGCGGCTCCTCGGAGATTCGTAAGATGTGCACGACTGATGATTCAAAAGGACGACAAAACAGCTGCACAGTTCTCAGTTTTTGGGCACAGGTTGATTCCACTTATAACATGAATCCATAGTTGAAAAATCTCTACTTTCCTAACACTAACAATAAGAATTTCCGTTTGGGGATGTTGACCTTCGATGTTTTGGTCCCAGCACGTTACTCAGAAACGATTGAGGTTGTCAGTGACGCTTCATTGAAATACTGCATTAAAATCTCATAACAAAGATCCCTTTCTGAAGAAGCGCTCCCTATCGCTATCTTGTGGGGATGGGGTTTTGCACGACAGACCTTAGTGTCGGATGCTATGAGCTGATTAACAGTTCACGGTTTTTTCTTAAGCCAACAATCGGTCTGAATAGTCCCGCTCTTCTCCTGGTGCAATCAATCTGGTTGAGCAACATCGATGAGGGATAGAAATGAACTCGAGTCTATCATTCACTAGGGCTCATCAGTAGTGCACCTCCTTGGCCATGCTTGGCACCTGATATGTAAGATGAATACGTAACCATTACCCCAGCAACTTACAATAAACGCAAATGTGTCAATAACTCTCAAAAGATGCACATTTTTATGCCTAAACGATGTGACTTGTTTGCCAAACGTCTCTTATTGTCTGACCAGGAGAGCTGCGAAAACTCTGATTCTGAACAACCACAGGAGAAAGATAGATCAGATCCAACGGTGATGTGCTATCGTCCTCTGAAAGTCCTCTGTTAGCTTGCAGACTGCGACTGGCTGTGAAAGGCTACAGGCCAATACTAGAACAAATGCAACTGTTGTCTTATTCCCATAAATATCCGGGACCGTGAACACATCTTGTTGTCACTGCTTCTTTTTAGTGGTGTGGCGTTCCTTGTACGCAAAACTTGGACAGTCTCACTGGAGGGATAACCCAGCTTGTAGACTAGGTTCTTAAACAACAGAAATAAACTTTTTATTATATTGCCAATCAACCCATTACTAGAAAATTCTGCGTAAATACCTTGTAAACATATGCCTCTCCGGGGTTTTCTTACCCAGCTGTTGATGCGAACACACTCATTTCTCTTCAACTACTGTCTTTACCGCAGTGAATCGGTAGGTAAGTCTTTTCAGCGAGTATCGCTTGTCTTGAATAGAAACGTCAATAATGCCTACATACTATTAGCTACCATACCCCCAAGAATTCCCGCTACCTTCCCCAAAAGATACCCTCTCATTATACCATTGTTTGCAGTATGCGTTCCAAATGCGTCTGCAGGTTTAAGCGTCACAGGTAAAATTCATTACCAGTTGCAATCAAACCTCATTCAAGTTCCAAAACACGATTTCCTGATTGCAGATACGGACTGGAAAGCTCATGGTGGCCCATTAAACGACTTGATCTCCTCATAGCCTTGGCAACTTCGTACATTTCTACAATTAAAAACTGCCTTACAGCGTCGAACACATACTTGACTCTAGACAAATTCTCAACCTATCAAGCCTCCATCTGTCCTGCAATACTTTGCAAGTGTGCTGCGCAGATGTATCAACTACACAACGGGGATATGTATGTGTACATACTGGCCTCTGTCCAATCCCTTCTCCACCTTGTACCGGCACAGTAAAATTCGACATTAGATTGATAAAAAAGCCACCCCCAAAGAACTGCAAGATTTTGAACTAAAAAACACTACCAGAAACCAGACGTCAGTACTGTCTGGTGAGACAAATGCTTTGTGTTCGATTGTGGTGGGCGAAATGTTCAAAAAATCAACAATGTTGATAACCTCCGGTGCGTACACCTGATACTTTCTATGAGCTGGACAACTGAGCAGTCCGCAAGAGCGTGGTCAATTGATTGGTGCGTGATAGGACAATCGTGAAGCGTCAGCCCAATATTGGTGGGCCCAATGCGAAGAATACTTCAGAGTATCGTGCTCTCAATCAAATACCGAGTACGGAGTTGTGTAGCTAGCAGTCCTGCTAAACAGCTCACTTCCTGGAACGGTCGAGTCATGCAAAGTAAAGTGTCTTTGTAATTCGAAGCGAGATAAAAGCTGGCCTAGCTTATCCATGAAAACGTCATGCGATGCCTCACAACAAATGCCAGGCTTTCAATTGTTGAGTGTAATAGTCAGAGTGGCACCAAAAGATAACGAAGTAATACCTGCGATTTCCTAAAGCTTAATTGATAGACCATGTGGATCACAATTTATCCTTGATCCACATCGGTAGGTGTAGAGTGGACTAATCTGCCTCAAAATGTTCGTATTTTCCAATATTACGTGGATTTTATTCGTTCCATGGAAGTTGTTACAGATAAATTCTGCTTGTTCTTGCTTCAATATGAACGAAAAACCACTTTCAGAACGGTCTTTTGGACGACCACGAATCAGTCAACCTGATAAACCAGCAGCCAATGGGCAAGTTTTATCCAGTTTGGAACCCTATCTGTGAATTTCATCAGCAAACACGATCAACGAATTGCGTCACACTTCATGAGCAAGACGGTTTACTAATGGGAATTTAGTGGCTTATCGATGAATTTATGTTGGTCAAGTTGTCATTGTTGATTGGCTGTAAATACGAAAATTATAGATCAAACAGATCAGATAATACATAACTGTAAATGACATGTAGAAATGGACTTTAGAAAAACACAAAATAGATCTAACATTCAACTGGCAAAATTCTGTAAACAGATCAGGTATTCACGCCTCTAGCGCCATCACATGTTCATTACTCAATGGTCAAAATTACAGTCCAAACTGGATCAGCGACATGAAATATGGACAAGCACTCAGTTAACCTGTCAATTTTCCGGGGAAAAACCTCCACCGTGGAAAACCGACTGACTAAATCTCACCACATATACAAACGCATACCTGTATGATTTTACTACGCATTCGTGCGTTCCCAGCGCATGTCGTCGTCCTCCTGATAGCTGCTTCCGAGGAGAGCAATTCTGAGGCATTCTCAAAACTTGACCAACTTAAGGGATTTGGTTGCTCTTGAGAAATCAGCGTAAACTTTGACGCTAATATCTCCTTCCAAATACACAAATTTATCATCGCTGACGCACCGGCAGTATTGAGCAGGGACTGGTGTCCAAAACGTTTGGACTATGAACATCCCACATTCACATAGCCGGTATTTTAGGTTCATTCAGAATCTCAGTGTTTATTCATACGTGCTTTCCATAACAAGTTGGCGTATGGTTGACACAACATTTGACAAAAAATTGGCAGAAGTTACACTAGTATTTATGGTACAGAATCCCTACAAGTAGTAGCGTATCGCCGTAGAATGAATGGAGGTAGAAGCATTTGATTACCGACTCTTGAAGATCACTTCTACGTGGTGCAAGCACCAAACTTACAATAAGGCAGTTCGAAATTATACCAAAACTGGAGGCACACATATAGCAATGCTGATCGCGATGGTTTGGGCAGAGACAACAATTCGGATCCGTATCGGATTTGGACTTGCCGTCAAGAACAAATGCTGGCCTGGTTGTTTATTGTCATATTAGACGTCGATTATCTAAGCATGCAGTCTGCCTGATATGTGCAGTGTCTGGAACAAGACTGTGCAGATCTGGTGGCAGATCGTCAGGTACGAGTGGCTGCACTGATAAGAGCGTGCCTGGTCTACGGTAAGCCACAATAGAGTGGCGACTTAAATCATGTGCATTGGTGCGCCTTCTGCACAGGCTTACTCCATCTATTCGTACTTGGGTCTGAACTGGTGGTTATCCACGTTATCCACATAAACAAGCCTACTGATGTGGTTAGTTCTACGTCTACTTACCCTGGTTCGAATCCAGCCCTAGCTGAATTTCCTAAGCCCTGTCTGGGCTTAAGAAATATGACAGCATCTCAGTCATCGTGTTTCATTTAAGTGGCATGGAAGCAAAACACCAAGTGTTACAGGTGAAGAATTTAAATTCTTACTTACCAGGTCATAACGTACCCAAATACAAACGAGTAATTCTTTCGTACCATATGGAGGTTGGGTAGTAAGTTGCGTAGACCGGAGTACCTAAATGACAGTGATGAATTGCTGTCGCTCTGTGAAAAGTGTTGCGCGTCTAACTCGGTGCTACTGAGACTGAATTTATAAGATTGCACAGGAAGGGTGCAGAAGCTTGAGGCTAAGTGTTTTTGCTTAATTTGATTGGTCAACGTCATAATACAGCTCCCGCAGGTGTGTATTAAGATTGCAAAGGGTGCAGAAGCTTGACGCTAAGTGTTTTTGCTTAATTTGATTGGTCAACGTCATAATACAGCTCCCGCAGGTGTGTATCTAGTCGGTGTTTGCACGGTGTTATCGCTGATTCAGAAATGATCCAGGTGTTGGAAGTTTCATCCGCAACAAACTCGAAAGCAATAAAATAACGACAACAATCCGGAAGATCTTTAGTTCACGGCTTTTGAAGTTTGAAGTGCTAGCAAGGCTGTGCAATTTGGGGATTGGTGGTTTAGAATAGCTGGCATTTGAAACGTGAACACATGATTACTCAACCTCGTGTAGGCCGATGCCGTTGAAAGCTTTCTAGGAATCTGTATGGGAAACTTCAGAACTAACTTATTGGTGCCATGTTGTAAAATTTGTATTACCCGATTTCATTTGAGCCATTAACTCCCTCCTCAAAGGGCATATTCAACGCGAATCGGGTGGTAGTTCAAACAGGTTTCCACTAGCCCGAAGCGTAGTAATTCTATTTTATAGGTGGCAGCGTAAAGTTTATAAGAGTAAACCATAGGTGTTGTAACCAGCCAGTCTTCTTAGTAAGAGTCCGCATTGTATGCGATCAAGGTCAATAATATAAGCCTGGCGTCCACGGTCAAGTTCTTTGTTTCAAAGGTCTATTGCTAGTGAAAGGTTCGTTATACAGGACCCTCGTCTCCGAAATGTGTTCCATAGACGATGTTCAAGAAATGTTGACAACTGATCGGCTAATAAACGACATGACTCTGGACTGTAAGTTGCAGGGTCGGGCCTACCGTATCCTTTACAAACACAGCTCCAGACTTTCTTTCAAGTTAGTTTGCAGCTTCAATCCATCCGATAAGTTCCCATTACCACAAATCAATGGCAGTGAAAAGAGATTCAGATACACAGGCAACCTGATGAAAACCTCCGGAAAAGAGTAGTTTTTTTTCGATAAAACCTGACATGTGTCACCCGATAAAAGTACGTTAGCTTTAGGTGAAAAATCCCGAGACAACATTGCAAGATGTGGGGTATCCAATGATAGAAATCTGATAATCACAACAAAAAATGATCATCAAAAATAATTCATTAAATGAGAATAATGGACAGGAAAGAAGCACACCTTTGAATTCCATACAGTAGAGCTCGCCCTCTTGAACCATCGCAGGAAAGACACTGGTCTCTATTGACATTGGTTTGTTCTAGAGGATGACAAAAAATGGTACGCAGCCTACTTGAACCCGACGCAGAATACTCGGCCGAAAAATGTAAAGTCCAGCGTTAATCCGATTAGCCACATACTCAGACGGTTTTTCAACGAAGAATTTCACCAGTCCCGTTTGGTCATTGTGAACGACAGCGCCGTACTTCGAGGGCTCATCAACTTTGGTTACCTAAAGATTGTCAGATTTATAGATACACGACCAGTCTTACGGCCATTGTTCCCTCGTGGCCATGAAGCAAGTGGAAATCTAGCATCTCTTTGAAGGGATAGTTACATATTATGTCACTGTTGAGAACAAAAAATGACTCCTCATTCGCGAGCAAGTAAGGAGCAGCTTGGGCGAGTGGACCAGCTATGCACGTAAAGCATGGGAAAGGAGAGACATACCCGTATCTAAAGCGTCATCTTCATATGAAAATGTAAGCTTAACGTCCCTCTCGCGCAGAACCTGAATATGGCATGTGTTAGGTTTTAGTGAGCCCGCAGAATACACTTTTAACAGTTAGAGCAGGTTCTTACCGATTTACACGAATCTCGAATAAAAGGCTCCAGTGAAGCAGCCTGGCGGTTGATTGCTAGTATGATCTCATCTATGTCCACCTGCATACAGTTTGGATCAATCGGAAATAAAACCCCACTTGCAAGAGAGCTTCAACTTGGTGCAAGAGCATCGGTCTGTTGCAGAATTCCACTATCGGTTTTGGTATGCTCAAAGTTAACGGCCGTAGCCGCGTCCCATATCCCCCAATGAGTATAAGCGCCTTCATTTATTTGGAACTACACACCTAGGAGAATCTCATCAGCCTCGATAATTTGCCCGCCCTCAAGGCCATGAGCACAACAAAATATTGTCCATTAAAACATCAAAGTGGATCCAAATAAAGCCTCACGGATTCACGGATTGATACACAGGATCGAGGCTTTTGCCCAAGTTTCCCGGGTCGGTTTTGTTCTTGTCGTTCGGCGGCTGTCGTTCACCTGAAAGGCACAAGTGAAAAAGTGTGTAGCACTGCTCTTTCAGTTCTCAGTGCGGGGCAGTATGCTTGCCAGCTTGAGGACTCGCATAAGTGTTTAATAGTGCTTTGAATTGGGTTCCAGAAGGAGCTCGGACAACCGTCGGAGGAAGGTTATTCAATGCAGCAACTGCCCGAAATGATAAAAATTTTCGCATAACGAAATTGTGCGCTCTCAGATTTGGAACCTTCTTACCGTGTCCCCACCTTGCCTTTGCCGGGTCAACGGTGAAAACCTGTTAGCCAAGCCTAGTTCAAATAGGGCACAAGTAGGAAAAAGGTCGACTCTGAGGCGATGGTACTCTAGAGGAAAGAGGTCAAGTACCGCGAGACTCGTTTCGTAGTCGACGGATCTAGTGCGGCGACCATTTTCGTAGCAGCTCGTTGGACAAGCTAAATGAGGGTAACGTCTTCCGCGCATCCCGGGTAGAAAAACTAGTCGGCATTTTTAAGAAGCATTCTGATGTGGTCCATGAGAGTGATACGGAAGACTGCGCGCCGGACCATCCATGCAACGGGAAATACCTTTTGGGCCGATTTTTCATGGTGCGGTGAGGACATGTTTGAAGAGAGCCAGATACTCAAGTCCCATTTGGCATCTATCCTCGTGATGCCTTCTAGTTCGTTTTCACCATGCATAACAAAAGCATTCGATGAGTCTCTTCTCCAAATGCTATATGAACGCATTTTCGTGATTCAGGTGAAGGTGACGGTCCAACGACCTCCGCTTAACAGAGTCTAGATCCATTTGGAGGGCACTGGCATTAGAACTCCAGGATTTCAGGTCGTCCACAAAAAGCAGACATGAACTTGAAAAAAAAACATCTGAAAGGTAGGTAAAGTATAGCAGAAACAGTAGTGTTCCCAGGATATCCAATGGAGACCGGCGCTGGAGAAGAGTAGGTCAAGCCTACTTTCACTATGAATGATCTGTCTGATAGGGACGTCTTGACCCACAATAGGATTTTCCCTTCAATTTCGTAGGACTCAAGTTAATGAGGCAGCAAGACAAGCGATTCGATCAAAGGCCTTTGAGAAGTTTAAAAATATGGTATCTAAGATGAGTTCACGTGATCTGTGTAAGCATGGGGGATAAGGTATATGCAGTGTTTTAGGCGACTCCGTTGTGTTATCAGGTGGATCTATGGGGAGATCTGACTTGTTACTGTGACCGATATCCTCGAAGTAACCGGTAATCATTTCATAATGGCAATGCAGGTAACGAACATGCTCGTACTCATGGATAGCTTAACCCAAGCTAAGGACGAAGGAGTTACAATAGCTGCCACATTTGTCGACCTCTCAAAGACATTCGATCGAGTTCCACATGTCCCGCTGCCCCAAAGATGCGAGTCTTACGGGATCGAGAGGAGATCCACACTGCATTAAGGCGTTATTTTCAAACAGAACATTCCGGGTGCGTGGAACAATTCTTCTGAAAAATGTTCACGCGGCATCGAGCGCTACCCGCTCGAAGGCACTTTCAGATGCCCTTTTATTTGAGTCCTCACGCTGGCAAGATTACTGCATGGGGTGGGAAATTAAGGAGCAGTGCTACACCCCTTCTTCGCCTGCGCCTTTCAGGCGAACAGGAGCCGCCGAACGACAAGAACGAACCGGACCCAGGAAGTTTGGGTAACAGCCTTGATCCCTGGTATAATTCCTTGAATCCGTGAATGCACTGAAATATAGATAACCTTCTAACCATGACTCACACGTTCGGCCAGCAGAAGGTCCAGCAGGTTTCCACTTGAGTAAAAGGTCAAATGCTCCTAAGCTATTTTCTGCGATTTGTCGGTTATAGTCCCAGATCCTGATCGTGTGTACGAAAATGAAGGGAAAGAAACGGGGGTTCACCACTTGTGATGGTGGAATTGAACGCGACTGCTGTTTATTCAGTTTTTCGGAACGTTTTAAGGAGACTTATGGAATGTGATGGATACTGCTGTCTGGGGAAGCGGGGTGTGAACGAGTTACAATGGAGAACTACGCTATGTAATAACATTAAATTGTCCAGGCAGTCTTATATTGCAACTTCAGCCTTTCACAAGTGGGAGTGGCGCAGAGGGTAGCGAGGAGTGTGGAAGATAGGTAACGGATGGCGGGCGAGGGGGGGCAGGGGACATATTAGAAGTGTATGTGGCATTTATCTCACTTGAGAAGAGTAATGAAGAATGCACGAATCGTCCGATCTGGAAGTTATTTTAAAGTGGCGGAGAAAAAGACTCTCTGGTTTTCCGACGTGCTTGTTTTGGCCGAGGTTCAAACAAATACCCCGGAGGTTAGCTACTGCTGCCCCGAATTTTCTCCCTGTCCGCCCTCGAACGTCCACAACTATTGATTCTGTCGAATTTTCGAACTGGTTTAGACGAAACGTTTTCCTTTGCATGTATTCCAAACTTTGAAACAAGCTCCTCTCACTTATTCACATAACATACTCTAATACGGGTATCAAAGCACTTTCAAATTTTAACCTTCTATTGATATGACCGAGCGCCACACCTTGTACCAAACAACGTTTTAAAAGAGACACTGAGCCCTTCTAATTGCGCTGTCACCCCATCTGTCCTAGCATGTGCACTACCAGCTTAAAATCTCTAGCCTTATCACGCGCAAATTGATCAGCTTCCCTTTTAAGTATTCTTGGTCGTTGTTTGACGTCTTACTCATCTTTTATGCAGAAGTTCTTTCTGGGAATGCGTCTGCACCTGATCTCCGAAGTGCAGATCCGTTGTTATCGTAATTCTTTTCATGCAGTCTCCACTAACCCTGTTATATTTCCGTACTTTTGGGCTCATGCTCCTGTGCTTGGACAACATTTTTTTCAAGTCGGGTCCCGTCCCTTAATAATTCTGTGCGCTCTTCTCAATGTTACATGGTTTGCTTTGCCTAGGTGTGGCTAATATTATCCTTACTACTCCACTTTTCAAAACCATTCCGCGCAATGAGAACGCGCAATGCAAACATATCAAAGATGTACAGCGAATGAAATACTTGCTTGGTTTTAGTACCCATTCATTGAAACACAATACTGTGGTGCATTTCTCTGGTTAACATCAACGCTTCGTCGTCATTGTGCTATGGTGCACACGCCCTGAACATCTCTATTCTACTCTCTTGGGCGGAAAAGTAGCTGCGGCTTCATATTCTACTGCGACTTGCTCCTTTCAGTGGCTGTCTGCTGTTCGCTTGTTCAAAATAACTGAGTTGTTTTACGAGCCCGGTTCCCCCGATCCGATAAAATACCTGGTAGCTGGAGTTATTACTAATGCACGAGTTGCAATTACGACCGCTTGGCGGCTTGTCACCCTGCAGTTCTGTTAGCATGGACGAGGAATAAGAGCCTTGCATGGTGGACGGATGTTTCCCACGGGGATGGTTGCTTTGTTGCGCTGCACCACGGCGCGTTCGTATACCCCTGCACCACGGCGCGTTTGTTTACTCGCCACCCGCCACTGGCCCATCGCCGGCGGTTCTAAGCCTGGAATTCAGTTCAGGAATTCCAAAACACAGAACTATTGACATGTGTTTCTAGCTGCTTATTTGAAATGGTCTCGGTTGTCAAGTCTATGGCAACGCTATAAACCAAATAAAATGGAAAATCGGCCCTTCACCTGTAAAAATAGTAAAACATACTTATGAGACAGCCCTAAGATACTTTGCGGCGATTTCGGCTTGCACCTACGTAAAAACGTCAGTAGGCGTCTTCGTCTTAGTTGCGGTTGTAGCACACCAAAGCCCATTTTATCAGCCAAAGCCAAAACACACCGTCACTGATTCCAGGAGAGGTCACGTAAAATAAACAGATATTTGGAAAGATATAAAGAGACTTTCAGTGCTTCACTACTAGTACTCAAAGCTAGCGCCTAAGCATTTTGCTCCCCGTGCACCACTTGTTGATTGTGGCTGACAGGGGTGCGTCTGGGACCGATGACCCTTCTTCTTATGTTCATTCCCCAAACTCAAATTACATTACCACCAAACTCACGCAATAAACTCCAGATGAACTAGTCGTTATTTGTAGATATTGCAACCATCAGCCTTCATAGGTCTGTTGTGCCCTATCACACCACATTTCCGTATAATTGTATTGATCTTTTTTGTATCTTATCCTATGTTTGTACCATAGTGACTAGCTTAGCCGGTCCTTGTTTTCTAAGCCACTGAGCCAGTTCCTCCTCGCCAGGCTACCAAGCAGCCCTAACCCGGTTGTTCAGGGAATGAAGTCCTCAGCCAGCGGTTATTTGAACTGTTTGCCCGCATCTGAAAAGGAAACTGCCTTAGTAAAATGGAAAAAATGGTTGACATTGCACATTTCTGAGAGTGGCTTGTAGAGAGTGCCGCATCTGAAAGGAAACTGCCTTAGTAAAATGGAAAAATGGTTGACATTGCACATTTCTGAGAGTGGCTTGTAGAGAGTGGGGAAAAGACAGGAGGGTCAGCTTGGTCCCATTCACAAAGGGATTGTTGGCAATGCCTCGTATTCCTTGCATTATGGTGGCTTGAAAAACGCCGACTGGGAGCGGCCACCGAGACTTTAGTCCGGTAAAGCCTGCACTTACCAAATCTTTACGATCCGCCAGATATTAGAAAAACGGCCTGCTTACAAAGGGCTCATAATCTTAGTATTCCTGGATTTTTATGGTGCATTCGGGTCCAATAATTGCGCATTTAGAATGCCCGCAGGCTTGTGAGACTAATTAATCCTTCGCATTTCCAGACTTTTTCGTGCGTAAGAGTATGCGGAAAGCTTT